ATGGGAGAAAATTGTGAAACAAAACTCAAAATCATAACAAGGACCAGACTAATTGGTCTGCTAGAGATTGATGTACCCCTCAAGGTTATGGCCCTTAGACACCTGTCAAATGGGGAACGGAATGCACTTCCAGTGATCACCTGTCAGCTGAACAACAGAGGGTCTACAATGTGACCAATAACACCTGCAGGACACGCTCCTCAGAATTATCAACCAACCATATGCAACCACAAGGGCAGCGTTTGCCCCAAAACAAAGCTCAGAAGGCAGGAAGGGGTGGAAAGAGGGGTGAACGGGAGGGAGAATGCTATTCACAATGCCATGCAACAAAATGCTGGTGAACAGGAAACTAATTTGCTCTGTAAACTTTCACCCGCCAGTCCCAACCATCCATGTTCAAGGCCCGGGTGGGGTGTTTCTGCCAGGTGCAACCACAGAGCTGACCCTAGAGAACAAGGTGCTGGAGAAGTAGGGAACGTCTACTTCCTGTAGCATCGGCTGGAAGCCTGAGTCAATTAAAAAGCTGCAGAAAGGTTCTGACTTGTCTGGTTGACAATTTCCTCTCTCAGAGACTACAACAAAGCAATAAATACTTGTTGCACTGAAGAGAACGGGCAGCTAATACCATGGGCCCAATTCCAATCAATAAAGAAGTGGCTGGGAGGCAGGCTTGCTGTACCAGCCAAGGGCAAGTCTGGGTACAATGAGCCATGCTTCTCAGACTTCATAAAGGCAGAAACCATTCCAAGACTTAGAAAACACACTTATACACCCCAAACTGTTGTTGTTAACTGCCAATGAGTCTGTTCCAACCCTGCATAATGTTTCTGAGGAGCAGCTGGTGGGTTTGAACTGCCGACGTGTTGTTAGCATTCCAGCGCTTATCCTATGGCACCACACACCATAAGCTACAGGACATAAAAGGACTGTGACTCAGAATATACATGATAGCTGCTACTTAGTATATGAAGGGCTGTCCCACGAGACATTAGACTTGTTCCGGAGGCCCCCATGGGGGACACATGGGACCAATGGGTGGAAAATTACAGAAAGACAGTATCTCAGATGGTTACAGGGAAGTGTTTCCTGAGAGTCATAAAACCTTGCGGCAGAATGGGCTGCTTTTAACAGCAGAGAGTTCAAATGCAATCTGGATATTCAATAAGCGGAGGCAGGAGAGGTAATTAAAAAACCAGAGGGTGATCTGACAACTGTGGCATTCCCACACTTGGGAGGTGATGTCAACCGTGAGGTGTGTTGCAAGTGGTCTGTTACAATCATAAAACGCTGCAGTGTGTGATTTACTGTTTGCATGGATGAAAGTCAATGCCAGGGTACCAGCGGAACTCCACTCTTACTCACTAGTGTGTAAGTGAAAAAGTGAAGGAAGTACAGCGGAGGTCTGTGTGCTGGAGAACCCTCCCAGGGGTCTCTACTCCAGTATGTTTAAAGGCTCAAAAAGGAGAATTACTGGGCTAGTAATGGCCTGCATATGTCTGCTAATGCTGGACAATGAATAAGAAACAGCAGAGAAGAATCAATGCCTTTGAATCAGGGTGTTGGCAAGGAATATTACAACTATCATGGTTGCTAGAAGAACAAACAAATCTCTGTTGGAAGAAGTAGAGGCAGAATGCTCTTTAGAAGCCAGGACAGGGAGACTTAGCCTCATGTACTTTGGACATGCCATCAGAAGGGATCAGTCCATGGAGAAAGACACCATGCTAGGTAGAGAGTCCATGAAAACGAGCGAGAGTTTCAATCAGATGGGTTGACACAGTGGCTGCAACAATGAGCTCAACCACAGGAACAACTATGTGGACAGTGCAGACTGGGCAGATTTCATCCTGTTGTACGTGAGGTCGCTATGAGTCAAAACGGACCAGCTGGCACCTCGTAACTCCTTTGTGAAGCTGAGATTCCATGAGGGTGCACAGCATGCCCCCTTGGCCTTCCAAACGAATGATCTGTTGGAGAACATGGTGGTCCATTTTTTTTGTTTTTGGAAGAATTTATCTGCAGACTGTAATGTCTACATCTGGTGAAGGTGACACGTCTCTGGAGCACATTTCAATACTACAGAAAGGAGACTAAGGATTACATAAATTGTATCTGTGTATTGTATTTTTCACACAACAGCCACTCAGGTGATTTCAATGCGACTAGAACCAAAACAAATCAAACCCAAAGAACTCCGCTTGCTCACTGAAAGGTCCGTAGTTTGAACCCACCAGCCTCTCCTCGGGAGAAAGCTGTGACAATCTGCTTCCATAATTGAACCCACTCACTGCCTTAAAGTTCATTCCGACTCAGAGCAACCCAATAGGACAGAGTAGAACTGCTTCATAGGGTTTCCAAGGCTGTAAATCTTTATGGAAACAGATTGCCAAAACTTCTTCCCACGGAGAGGCTGGGGGATCCAAATCGTCAATCTTTCAATTAGCCTTACCCCTCGGAGCCACCACGGTTCTTTCTGTAACAATGACAGACAGCCTTGGAAAGCCTATGGAACTCTTCTACTCTGTCCTATTGGGTTGTTCTGAGTCGGAATGAACGCTTAGGCAGTGGGTGTGTACAATTATGAAAGCAGATTGGCACAGCATTCTCCTGAGGAGCAGCTGGTGGGTTTGAACTACGTACCTTTCAGTCAGCAGCTGAGTGCTTTTAACCACTGTGCCACCAGGACTCCTCCATGGGACTAAAGGAAAATTAAATCTTGCTATTTTCTTTAAATAAAAATGGTTACAGATGATGTCAACGTGCCCAGGAAACATTATTTGCCTTTTGAAACATTAAACATTTTCTTTCCCTCTAAGCAAAAATTGTCATCAACCAGTAATGAACGGAACCCAAATTCAGCCAGCCTCCCCCCGATCCAAACTGGAATCAACTCTCCATTTTTATCTCCCTGGCAGGGCCTCCTGTCACAGAGGCCAGCAGCACAAGGGCCACCATAAAAAGATTTCACTGACCAGCTCACACCTCCAGTTTCCCTCTGACTCCTGTGTCATGTAATTTTTCAGCCGTGAAACCAGATGAATAGACGCTAATTGCTCCTCTGGAACGCCAGGGTTCCCAAGAAGATCGAAGGTGTCTATCACCTGCTACAGAACGGCTACTGGGCAGCCTGAGTTTCTGGCACCTCATAAATTTTTTTTTTAATTTCCATGCTTTTTAAAAAAATTGTAAGATGATTATTACCACAGCATAAAAATGTAAAAGCCAGAGGAGAGAGTGAGCTCACGCACACGGCCATCACCCTAATGAAATCACTGCTGGTCTTGTAGTGTGTTGCCTACTCTTCTCCCGGCTTTTCTTTTACGTGCTTATGTGGGCTGTGTGCATTTAGCTGACTTGTACCTCGGAAAAGAGGAATCCGGGATCCTGGTGGTGCAGTGGGTTAAATGTTGGGCTGATAACCAAAAGGCTTGGAGTTCAAACCCACGAGGGAGAAAGATGTTGTTACCGTCCCAGAAACCCTAAAGGAACGTTTCTACTCTGCTCTACAGGGTCGCTATAAGTAGGAATGGACTCCATGGCAGTGGGCTTGGGTTTCCTCTGAAAGGAACTCACAAGCTCCAGACAGCTGCTCCCCACCGGCCCCTGTGCTTCCTGGTTTCCAATCTGCCAGGGTGCAACCTGGCTCCTCTCCCTCAACTCCAACATCCATTTCCATAGGTTCTTCTATTATTAGCCCTTTCCCAGACCCGTCCCTGGTCCAGTTCATATAACTGACACCCCCGAGCCCCGGCATGGTGCCTCTCCCTGGCCCCTGCCTCCATATTTTCTCTCTTCCAGCTCGCATGGCTGACTTCTAAATCTTTCCCTCACTCTGGCTTTCCTTCAGTCTGCACGGCCTACTTCCTTCGCTTATCCTGATAGATCTCCGGCTGAACAACACTGGCAAGGAGAAAACAGTTTTTGGTCTGAGTTTTACAAACATGTGCGATTTGTCCCCATGTTAGATTTCCTGTCTTATCTCCCATTTCCCCACAGGGAGCCTCTACTGGTGGTGTACTTGTCCCCTTGACAAAAAAACTGCAGCATGCATGTGCCTGCTCCTTGGGGTCTCTGTAAGGGGAAGGACTCAGGACAGCTGAGGTGGTGCCAAGGGTCTTCTATTTACCCCTCAGCCATGAACAATCATCAAACTGGACAAAATAAACAAAGCCTTCAAGTGTTAGCTAGCAAGTGAGCAGGGCTATAATCCCAGATAGCAGCCAGTTTAGGCTATGAGGTCACAGGCCCCTGCCTTCCTAAAAAAGGACACATTTCAGAGTGGCTCAGGGAGGTGGCACTCACCCAGTGGGCAGAGTGGCCCACACCTTTGCAAAGCAGCAGAGATGGCTCAGGATGTAAGAACCCACCCAGCCTTTGCATTTGTAAGTAGGCTGTTCAAACTTTGAATTTTAAAAGTATAAACAGTTGACCTTTGGACGATGTGGGGGTTCAGAACGATGTAGAAAACTGAACAGCACGGGTTTGAGTGGCGTGGGCGGCTGGCTATATATGGGCTTATTTCCCAGTGGCTATTGTGGTGAGCTCAAGAGTTGCATGGATCCACACAAAATGCTGTATGATGCTAATCACCTCTGCTTCTCCAGCTCAGGCCTGGTTAGTGGGGGGGCAGGGGGACATTTGTCCCTTTACTCCACTGCTGAGCACACCCACCATGGGTACTCCTTCAAATGCTGGGATCTGCTGTCAGACTCAGGTGAAGGGTCCACCCCATGCCTCTGGGAAACATAGCCCCAGGGAACTTTCTTATTAGAACACCTAACACTCTGGAACATTCTGAAGGGTCAAGGTCTGGGATGGGGCCAATTCTTGTTCTCATTCTCACATGGCAACATAATCGTGTATAGGCTCAGGGGTCTTTGGCAAGTTCCAGAGGAAGCCAGTCCAACTTTACATATGAATGCCCAGGGAGGTGGCACAGGCCCACCAGGCCAACTCCACAGACCACCTCCTCCCCCAAATGGTAGAGATTTCTGTCCTACCATCAGCGAGTGGCTTGCAGGAGATGGCGTCGTCGAGGTCTCGGGCCGTGGGTGGGTCAATGGTGAAGATGCAGTCTTCTCTAGGAAAGAGCGGAAATATCATTAGCAACGCCACAAACACTAGAAACCTTTGTCCCCATTGGAATGAATCTTGAAGGAAGCTGTCACTCTGCAAATGCACTCTGTTGGGCAAGGCGAAGAGCCATTTCTGTCATCTGGCCAGGAGAAGGGGACCTTGAATAAACATGAGCCGGAGAGGGACCACATAGGTGAAGACAACAGGGCTCCACACAAGCTCAGAGGGTCTTTCTCATCTCGGTCTTCCCCTGAACCTAGAGCACCAGGAGGTGTGAGCCAGGGGGCCTCCCAAGAGAGGGTCCTGGGAAGGAGGCAGCGTCTTTGGTAAATGACACTTCTCCCTGTATCCTTTTGTATTCTTGCCTCCCCCTTTCCCAGTGGCTGATGGGAACCAGCCCCTGGAGAATCCAGATGAGGAAGCTCCACGGCTCCTTCTCCTATCTCACAAAACAGGGTTGTACCAAAGAACAATCCACTGGAGCTCTGACACAGGAGCCAGGAGCCAGGAATAAGCTTTTCCTACACCTCTAGACCATCCAGTTAGTCGTGGTAATTGTCCTACATTGCCATGGGACAAAATGCACTTTATCCAAACTCCTATCATCAAGCATACCCAGGGCCCACTGACTTTGAGGCGTTAGCTGCTCTTGTAACTGGTAGGCCTGGGCCAGTCTTATTTCGGTTTAGTCTCTCATTTCAAAGGCCTCACCCACCCCACCTCATCATTTGGGTGGGCTCTATCCTCATTTCTCCATATCTCTTGCCCTATCCCTCCCGGGTCCTGGCCTGTGGAGGGGGGAGTTCTGTAGCCACTGCCCTTTCTCACTGACACACAAGCTGACCATCAACACAACACCCCTGCCTGCCCTCCAGGTTCCTCACTGCCCAGACCATCAGCACCGATGACATGAATTTCCAGTCGCTCACATGGTTAGATCTGTCTTTTCTCACCATTGCTCCTCTGTTCCCAAAGTCCCCAGAGAGCTTAGAGGCTGTCATCCATGTGCTCCCTCTCCAGCTCATGTTTATTCAAGGTCCCCAACAGCCCTCTCTCCCACAATGATAGTCTCACTATTACAATTCCTCAACTCTAGGAGTCCTGGTGTGGCGCTGTGGGTTAATGTGTCAGGATGCAAAGCCGTTTGAACTGCAAGGTTGGAGGTTCAAGCTCACCAGCTGCTCCTCGGAAACTCTTACAGGGTTGCTATGGGTCAGAATCAACTTGATAGCACTTTACAATAAGAAGAAGACAGTCTTGGAGTCCTGGTGTGGCACTGTGGGTTAATACGCCAGACTGCAAAGCCGTTTGAACTGCAAGATCGGCAGTTCAAGCTCACCAGATGCTCCTCAGAAACCCTATACAGGGTCACTATGGTTAGGAACCGACTTGACGGCACTTCACAACAACAACAAGACAGTCTTAATTTTTAATTCATGCATCATCAATTTAACAAAAGCTTTTTGGGGAAATAAATCCCACCATAATAGTAAATACAAGGGAGTTTCAAACAACTTGTGGAAAAATGGAATTAAATGATTATGGAATTTTTCCATGAACTTTTTAAAGCCCTTTTCATATATGACTTGATTTTAATGCATACCAGGACTTCAGAAATGTCCACGTCAAAAAATCAAAACGATCTTCAATGGTACAGTACTCAGCAATGAAACAGAACACATGATTGACACACACAGCTGCTGTTAAGTGCCACTGAATTGGTTCCGACTCACAGAGACCCTGTATTGGGTTTCCAAGAAGCAGCTGGTGAGTTTGAACCACTGACCTTGTGGTTCAAACTGACCTTGCCATGCAGTGCTTCAACCCACAGTGCCACACCAGGGCTCCTACTCAAAGGGATTTCTCTGAGTTAAAGCAGCCAATCTGGAAAACTTCTGTCCTATATGAGCCCATTTGTATGACACCCTGGAAAAGACAAAATTTACATGATGGGAATCAGATGAGGGGCTGCCAGGGGTGCGATTCTTCAGGCAGAGCACAGGGAGGCTGATGGACCAAGGGGCTTTCCTCTCCCTTGATGCTGGTGGTGGTCCCATGAGTCTATGTATATGTCAGATGTCATAGAACTGGACCACCAAAACAAGAGCCAATTTTTTCCTGTTCATTTAAAAATAAAACGTTTAATAAAATGTGAACTGAGAGTAAAGTAAGCATACACACACACACACACACACACATATATATCTATTGTTGTTGTTAAGTGTCATTGAGTTGTTTCTCACTCATAGCAATCCTGTATAAGGTTTTCTGAGGCTGTAAACTTTTGTGGCGTAGAAAGCCTCATCTTTCTCCTGCAGAGTGGCTGGTGGGCTAAAACTACTGACCTGGTGGTTATTCTAGAGAATTACCATGGAGCTCTGGTAGCGTAGTGGTTACGAATCGGGCTGCGAACCTTAAGGTCAGCGGTTTGAAACTACCAGCTGCTCCGCAGGAGAAAGATGAGGCTTTCTACTCTCGTAAAGATTTACACCCTCGGAAACCCTGTACAGGGTCACTATGGGTCGGAACCGACTCGATGGCACTTAACAACAACAACAAGTCTATATATATGTGCTGCTGCTGTTGTTGTTATTAAGGGCCATCAAGTCAGTCCTGACTCTTAGTGACCCTGTATAGGGTTTTCAAGGAGTGACTAGTGGATTTGAACAGCTGACCTTATGCTTAGCAGTCCAGTACTTAGATTGATATATACATAAATTTTAGTTAGGTGCTGTCAAGTTGGTTCCGACTAATAATGGCCTTGTATAGGGTTTCGGAAGAATGGCTGGTGAGCTTGGAATGCCAATCTTATAGTTCAAACTGACCTTGTAGTACATTCACCCACAGTGCCACCCAAGGCCAACGGTTCAGACTTACCAGCTGCTCCTGGGAAACCCTATACAGGGTCACTATGAGTTGAAACCGACTTGACAGCACTACACTTCATTAAAAACAAACAAAAAAATATAGCTATGTTGCTGGTAAGTTCTGACTCAGCAGTGGGTGGGTCTGTACCCCCAACCTTGCAGTTAGCAGTCCAGTGTTTATGCATAAAAAACATTAAAAATACACTTACAGATACAGTAAAACATAGTTAATATATTACAGTGCCACACCAGGACTCCAAATATACAAATTAAATATTTACAGGGCTGGTCAATGGGTGTTACAATTATGGATGATGGTTTTTCCTTTGAAACTTTCCATGTATATTTTTTAAATGTTTTCTACTAGTAAGTAGAAGGAGCTCTAGTAGCGTAGTGGTTACGAATCAGGCTGCGAACCTCAAAGTCAGCAGTTCGAAACTACCAGCCGTTCCATGGGAGAAAGATGAAGCTTTCTGCTCCCGTAAAGATTTACAGCCTCAGAAACCCTATGTCGTTGTTGTTAGGTGCCATCGAGTCGGTGACGATTCACAGTGACCTTATGCACAGAACGAAACACTGCCCGATCCTGGGCCAACCTCACTACTGTTGCCACACTTGAGTCCATTGATGCTGCCACTTGGCCAATCCATCTCCTTGGGGGTCTTCCTCTTTTTCTCTGACCCTCCACCTTACCAAACATGATATCCTTCTCCAGTGACTGGTCCCTCCTGACAATATGTCCGAAGTATGAGAGACAAAGTTTGGCCATCTTGGCCTCCAAGGAACACTCTGGCTGCACTTCTTCCAAAATGGATCTATTGGTTCTTTGGCAGCCCATGGCACTTTGAATAGTCTCCTCCAACACCATAACTCAAAACATCAAACCCTATACAGGGTCGCTATAAGTCAGAACCGACTCCATGGCACACTACCACCACCACCACAAGTAAGTAGAGACTCTCTCTCCTCCAGTCAAAACCCAGCTGCTCAGCAGATACATAATCTTGCTTGTAAGGATATTTAGCTACCTTGTAACATTTGTTAAAACTCAAGTTGCTTAATCATAGCCAAGGGCTTCAAATATTTTGGATCTGAGGGTGGAGAGAGGGAGGAGCCACACAGGAGGAACGAAAGAGTGTTGGAGTGTGTTACTGGAACCCACTCTCCCATGGAGGTTTTGAGAAAAGTCCCTCACAGGGTGCGGAACACAAACGTTGAGGTCTCAAGGCATAATTATTCAGAAATAACTTCTGTCCCACTATAAAGACAGAATGGAAGCAAAAGGCCAGAGGACATCAGAAACACTGAGGAGATAGGGCTGCACCTCAGGAATGGAAAGTTTGCTGAATGACAGGATGGGGAGAGGAAGCCATAGGGAGGTGAGATTGATCCAGACAACCTGGTCACAGACTCTAAACTGGGGAAGACCTTGAACTTGATTTACAAGGATTAAGAAGGAACTGTCTGCTTTGTATACATTTTTGTACAAGCATTCTGTGGTTTACAGACACTCACCTTATGTGCAACCTGTAGTTAAGAACCAATCCTTGGAAAAAGGCTATAGTATTAAAAATCTTAGGTATATATACGATAGTTTGTAATAACAAGCAAAAGCTAATTGGTGATGTGCACCAAAGCTATGATCATTACTGTAGTATTGTTTTAGGAGTCCTGGTGTGGCACTGTAGGATAAACACTAGACCACAAAGTAGGTTTGAACTGCAAAATTGGCGGTTCAAACCCACCAGCCACTTCTTGGAAACCTTGAACAGCGTCACTGAGTAGGAACCAATTCCACAGCACTTTAACAACAACAAATTATTACGTTAAAGATGTTTTAGTATATCTGGAACTGTTTCTTTATTGTTTGTTTTAAATGTATATAAAGGTACATGACCTATACGAAGCAGGGGTTCCATACAATCAACACTGGAATGTGAACCACAGGTCCAAGGATTGAGCCCAGCAGCCAGTCCATGGGATAAAGATGAGGTTTTCTGTTCCCGTAAAGCTTTAAAGCATGAGAAACCCCAAACAGTGTCGCTACAGAGTCAGAAGGGACTCCACAGCACTGAACAACAAGACAAACATTTGGCTAACTGATGTTAGAGATGAACCAGATTTAACTGCTGCAACT